GAACTTGTCCTGGGGTAGATCGGCGCTAGTAGTTAGAGAGTCTAGAGTATCTCCAATGAAATCTATTCGCTGAAGGTGTGGATTTTCCAAGGTTGGTGCATAGGCCCATGGACTGAAACAAGGCTAGGACCTTCTTGGCTGTCAACTGTTGTGGGGTGGCCCTTGAGGAGCCAATCGTTCAGACAGAGAAAGATTGCTATATCCCTCCGATGCAGGTGAGCCATGACAAACAAGAGGATCTTTGTAAAGACCCATGGTGCCACAGAAAGGTTGAACAGAAGGAACCAATACTGATAATGTTCTCTGCCTATGCCAAAGCACAGAAAGTATTTACGGGAGGGGTGCATAGCAACATGAAAATACGCGTCCTGAAGATCAAGAGCAACAAATGAATTGCTCTAATTTTGGGGTGGGATTACTGTAGTCAGAGTCACCATCCTGAAATGCTGTGAAAGAATGTAGGTGTTCAGGTTTCTGTGGTCCAAGATTGGCCTCCAGTCACTGTTTCTTTTGGGGACCTTCTTCTGACAAATGTTGGGAGAACCAGCTCTGTTGTATCCAGACACAGGAAGGAATGGACTCCTGCTTTAAGAGACCCTCTGAGAGGGGTCCCTGCAGAAGGAAGGGGAGGAGAGTTGCAGAAAGAATGGAGACCTCCCTATCTATGACTTCCTTTTGACAACCTAGACAAGTGTTACGAACACCCCCCTCCTGTGGATCTGCTGATCAAACCCACCATCCCACCCCATCTTCCTTCGGGCACCACTATCCACTTTATTTCTTGGGAACTTATCACAGACATGCGAATCCTAAAGATGGTGTCTACAAGACTAAAATCGACTGCATAGGAAAGTGGTGGCATGATATTAACACCTCATCTTGGGAGAAGGAGGACTTGTGTGATGGAAACGTCTCTTCCATTGGTAGCTGTTGTTCCTCCTATACTACTTCTTGTGTTAGGGAGACATGAAACCAGTGACTGCACTTGTGGTGCCAGTTGTGGTTATGGCACCGACAGGTATTGCAAAAATGGCCTCTTCCGGGCCCCATAAGGGGCTAAGAAATTCCAATAGCCTCATGGTGCTGCTAAGTAAGGGAAGGGACCACGGAGTATTCATGTTTTGAATGCCTGGGGCATCTTATGGGTTCTAATGAGTCCTCCTTGCAGTACACTTCAAGAGGCATAGGGTGGTAAGGTAGTGAGTTAAAGCTTTGCAACAAAATTTCTGAGTCCAAAGGCAAGACCCCTAGGTATTGGTGCTGGGGCCAGTAACGGGGGCCAAGAAGGTGATAGACAAACTGAAGGATGGATCGGTGCTGGAAGGTTGGCTCCTGCTGTCAGGTGTAAGGGGTTGATGACTGAGAGTGTAGCAGTACTGGAGGGAAGAGTCTCTTGGTGGCCCTTAAGGGAGGACTCTGGGTCCTTGGAGATTAACTGATTCTCATGAGGGTGTTAGAGGGCTATGGTAGTGGATAGTCAAAACTGGGAGTGGTACCGGACCCTAGGCAGGGACAGTAACCAAGCTGGCATCGAAGACGGCACCAAAGTGGCGATTAAAATCATATCTCTGTGCTCTGAATGCATTCAACCCAAAGAGGATAGTATTGGAGAGGGAGCAGAGGTTCAATAAGAGCTCCAAGAGAATGTCATATGAGTGCCTTAGGCTTTTTGAAGCCTTTCATTTTAGCACAGTCTCAATGCCTGGAAGATGCCACAAACAATACTGGGGATGGTACCTCATGATGCTTCTTACTGGCAGACTTACTGAGGTGGAACATCATCTTAGGTGGTATTGATGCCTTGGCATTGGGGTTTGTTGAAATCTTAATGGTATCTATTATTGGACATGACGTCTCCCTGCAGTCAATTCTAAGGGGTGACAAATTCCTTCTTCTGGACTTGCTTTCAGGGGAATGAGGCTCTCTTTTCTTATAGTGCTGTCTGAGGCAGCCTTGGTCACCTGTACAGCCTGAGAGGATGAGGCCAAAGTAGGGGGGAATTGGGACCCTGTGGTCAGGGCCGGCTCTAGGCACCAGCAAAGCAAGCAGTTGCTTGGGGCGGCAGATTTGCAAGGGGCGCAAGAATCCAGCATGGGAGCTAAGAACCAACAGGGGGCCCTGGGAGCTGTAGTTCCTTGGTTAGCTCCCTGCCTATAGAGCCAGCCCTGGAGCAGGGAAAGAACTACATTTCCCAGCATTCCCTTGGCCACTAGCAACAAGAAAGGGTGTGGGAAAGGAGTATGGAACTGAAATCTGCAGCTTGCTGTGAATGGTAGGAACAGACCCAGCTCTAGGTTTTTTGCCGCCCCCCCCCACGCCCCCTGCTGTCCCAGTTCTGGCCCCCACCTGCACTCCCCTGCTGCCCCAGCCCTGGGCTCGCCCCCGCCCATGCCCCCTGCCGCCCCAGC